AAATAATGGATACATCAGGATAATTGAGAGCGCCTATAATCAACCATTTTATTTAGAACAATAAAATTGTTCTTTATTTTTGTAAGTTATACTTTCCTCAGTTTTGCTTAATTGCTTAACTACTTAACTATTGCCTTTATTGTTTACATTTGCTATAGACCTTGTTTTGGTTCAGCGAAATAATATATAAATCAAGGTAATTGAGAGCGCCTTTAATCAACCATTTTATTTAGAGCATTTAAGTTTTTCTTTATTTGTGTAAGTTATGCTTTCCTCAGTTTTGCTTAGCTTTTGCATTTATTGTTTATATTTACTAGAAACTTTCTTTTTGTTCAGCGATATAATGGATAAAATATAGGAATTCAGAGCGGCTTTGATCAACTATTTTATTTAGAACATTTAAGTTCTTCTTTATTTTTGTAAGTTATAATTTCCTCAGTTCTACTTAACTGTTGCCTTAATTATTTATATTTGCTATAAAATTTGTTTTGGTTCAGCGAAATAATGGATACATCAGGATAATTGAGAGCGCCTGTATTTAACCATATTATTTAGAACAATGAAATTGTTCTTCATTTTTGAAAGTTATACTTTCCTCGGTTTTGCTTAATTGCTTAACTACTTAACTATTGCCTTTACTGTTTACATTTGCTGTAAACTTTCTTTCGGTTCAGTAAAAATATGGATAGATCAAAGTAATTGAAGGCGCTTTTAATGAATCATTTTATTTAGAACATTTAAATTGTTCTCTATTTTTGTAGGTTGTGTTTTCCTCAGTTTTGCTTAATTTTTAAATTTGTTGTTTATATTTGCTATAAATATTGTTTATATTTGCTATAAATATAAATATAAATCAAAGTAATTGAGAGCGTTTTTAATCAACTATTTTATTTAGAACATGGAAGTGGTTCTTTTATTTGTCATAATTTTTTTAGTTCCTCAGGCACTGGAGCCAGCAGAAAATTAAAATTGTGAAGGTGGCTAAAGGAGTACATTATTTCCTAATATCGAAATTCATTCTATATTATACGGGGTTGTTAAAACCAATGATTTATCTACGAGACACAAAAGTGGTGAAAAGTGCTCTTTTTTTAAATGTAAAACGGTGTATATTATCGCATATTCTATACGCAGATCGTTTGGTTTCTGAAATAAAACCAAAGCTTCTCTGAGAACTGGATTATTGTGGCATAAATCACCTTTTCCTGAATATTGAGAAGAGGAAATTTTCCAGAATTAAGAAAAGCTTTTCAAATCATTTTATTTACACTAACAAAACATTAGATGCTTAAAATAAAAATTGCACAAAGAGAAATTCTATCAATTTTCACATTAGGTGCTCGAAGTGCTCACTATTGCATTCTAATTTAAAATCTGTTAAAGTTGATTGGTGGTGGTACCGGTGTCAAATAGACTATAATGCACCCTGTGTGTAAAAATCTAATGGCATGAGATCGGGCGATCTTGCTGGTCAACTGGTCAAATATTTAGGTATAGGGACATTATATTTTTTGAAAGGAAATTTAATTTCAATTGCATATGGAATAATATACCTTCAAAAATATGTTTGTACCTGGTAGCAGTAAATCATTATTTTTGACCAACCTTGTATAATGTAGATTTCGATATTAGGAAATTCTGATCGACACCTCTCTAAGCTACGTCTAAACTTTAAACTTTATACTGGCTCCAGTGTCGTAGTAATTAAAATTTAATTGAAGCTATGTTTTTTATTTACTCAAAAACAATCATAAAGTATCAGCGGATCGGAAAATGCAATAATATACATGGTGTCCCATTAAAATTTCAATGTTCATGCTACTTTTTGGAAGGCACTAACCAATTTTTCAATGTAACGTTCGCCGTAAACGTCCTTTGTGAACCACCTCGTATATCTAACTCCGATGGCAATGAAAAGGGGGGGTGGGGTGTGGAAATTTTTATCCCCAAGTAATGGAACCAGAAAATCGCTCACGCGTGGGAGGTCGGCTCACTTGCTGGTGCGGAATTTCCGATAAGGGCCTGTGTGTGTAGTTGAGGGGGTTGGGGGTGTATGTCGAGTCATTCGCAATTTCCGACTCAAGAAGTGTCGGGTGTTAAATTTTAATCGGTAAATAACGGAACTCAAGTCTCATCACTTTGTCTTGACAGTCCTTTCGCCGATCGTCCATGGTCCGATACCAGTCGCGTCGGCATTTCAGTTTCAAAATAGCAACAATAAGACCGACAATTATGTGGAAGTGGCTTTCTAAAATATGGCTTTTCTTCAAGATTTCTTTCGAGAACAACATTTCCTAACAAGATTGAAACTATTTGGTAGGGGATATTTCCCAGTTTGCCTAAAGCAAAAATAAGCTAAAATTAAAAAACTGTTATCTGAAGATTTGAAGGACAAACTGGTTGACAAGGAAAAAAAAAGCTAGGAGAGTATTCCGCGTCATTACGAAGTGTTTTGTGGGCAACAATAAGGGCGACAACTATGTGAAAGTGGAAACAGTTTTCTAAAATATATCTGAAGAATATATGGAACAGTTTCATAGGGATTGATAGAACGGAGTTATCAGTGCAGGGGATGTAATTTAATGAAGTGTTTGGGGTCGATTTTAAAGAAAAATATTTTTTCCTAAGTATGAACTCTAGAATTGAGGTAAATATTTTGCATCTAAATAATGTAAATATAAACATAAGTTAACAAAACCAGACAAAATACCAAAACAAAAGTGAAGTATTTAAGATGTTGTTTATTAGCAGAAAGAATTTCATTTGTGCTTTTGGGTTTACGAAAAAGGAATTTTTTCTCCTACCGGGGAGATGCTATCATGTGGGTTTATATTAAAACCAATATTGGAGTCGGGTTTACTTTCGATATAGGCATATGTGGCGCCGTTAACTACAAAATTTCCGGTGAGACGAAGGTAAATTTCGAGTACGTGTTTACCCGGGGGGGAAACTTGTTCCCCAATACAAACATCGTCGTTAAACAGTGGCGGCGATCGTTTTTGTTCTCCGCTGCGATTTAATTTTGTCAAGCTTTAAGAGCCTCAAGACCTCTAATTTCGTCGATCCGGAGGTCTTCTATGATATTATATTTAAGAACATGGCGCTAAATTGGCAGAAAATTTATGTCAAGGAGTCTTGACAAATTATTTGCAATATTACTCCGTTTAGTTGAGGTAATTTTTAATTTAGCATCCTAGTCTATACTCCTAAAAAGAAGACTGGCAAGAGATTATATAAACTCGCCATACAAATAAAGCTTACAAATACCACCTCAGGATAATTGACAAAACCTAGATAGAAATTGTTAATAAAAATAGTGCAATGCAGAAAATTATACTGAGAAAGCAAAATACAAGTGGTAACTGCTGTCCTGCCAATTGACTTACTCATAAATCTTCCGAGATATATACAAATAAAAGCTTACAAACATCACCTCAGCATAAATGACAAAACTGAACTTCAGATTATAGTGGTGGTTGACAAGGCAAGAACAAATAAAAAAGCAAGTGGTAACTGTTGTTCTACTGATACTGAGAGCGGAGATTTACGTAGGGTTACAAGAACGGAGACATAGTAAGTGCAGAATGGTAACTCAGGCGCAACAGACAGAAGAGGTTGAGTTGTGACCACCGGGAATTAGATTATTTCTTAACACTGCGGATGATTTCTTCATGCTTCCATAAAGATGATGTAGATCAATGAATCTACGGCTCAGAGGAAGACTGTATCTACTGTTCAGGTAACACTGTCAAGCAGCATATAAAATGACCAGGGACATGAGGTAATATCTATCAACTTTTCCGGGTGTATCAAACGAATAAGTTTGATACACAGTTTCTACTCAAAGATTTTTCATCTATACTGAACTTGAAGTGTGATGTGACCTCATTTTGCAGTATTGCTTACAGGATTGCCGATATTCTTAACTGGATAGACCCTCTTTTGCAGGAGCGCAAGCAGTTTGTCAGTATTTTAAGTGATAAAGATAATCTCTCGTCGTCAGATTAATTCGTCTTTGTGGTGTTAGGGAACGGTTTTAGGTCCTGTGCTATTTATAATCACGGTATAATATGTTAATGACACTTCAATTGCCATTTCAGATAGGTGCGATCTTATATTGCAGAATAAATGCAACGATATATAGTTTTGGTTAGTTTTGGTTAGTCTCAGAAGATGGATAGTCTAGAAGCTGTTGTTTATTTAATAAATACCTGACCTTACCAAATTTGCTAATATTTCAGGTCGGTATTCATGTCTTAAAAAATAAAAACACCTTTTTTAAAACAAAGACATTCATTCTTTTGACACCGGACAGCAAAACAAAATGGACATACCTTTTGCCAAATATAAAATTTCGTCTAGATCACCCTGTATACTGGGGCTTCCACTTTAGGTATATGATGCGTGGGGTAATGGGGTGTCTAGCTTTTTGCGTTCCCAAAAGTGATGAAACTATCAAAAGTGAGGAGTGAACATACGGATATTTCCCGAATATGTAATATTATTACCGTATCTCGGTTCCTTTCGTTCCTTACGATTGGGTTTTATATATGGCTGAGAAAATTCTGCGGTACAACAGTATAGAGGGAAACTAGATGTAAAAGGACAATCTGAATCTAAAATCCAATATTAGTAAAAGTAAAGTCAATGCCATATTATTTACATTAAATATAATTACAAAACAAATGAAGCACGTATCAGAAAAAAGTTATCGAGTTATTTAAAAATAAATAATTACTGACGTAAAAATAAATATAGCAATGAAGTAAGAAAAACGAAGTCAATACAATAATATATAAAAAAAGATTGAATTAAATTGAAATAGAAAACTTAGAATATTTTAATAATTTTTTTGATAAAAAAAGAGTGAAAATGGACACCTTGGAAAAATTTAGGATACTTTTCGACGGTTTGGTACTAGAAGGAATAATTATATTACAATTTTTTTACGAAGTATAAGTAGTTGAATTGTACTCTGTAGGAGAAACGAAGAAACCTACTATGGGATTTAATTCGGTCAACTTTCAATCGTCCGGATCGCATCAAAAACTTTTTTATACGACTTAGCGGCAACAAGTACGCGGTAGAAGATAGACGACACTTTTCCGACGCGTCCCGACGCTATTGATATACGCCGCGACGCCTCGCGGGAACTAAACTGGAATCGCGACTTCAAATTTCCTCGGGATCGCACGGAATGCGCGGGAGTTTCTACAGGATTGAGCTTTTCCGTTACGCAGAAGAAATGCGTACTAAACGGGGAGAGCATTTGATCATATCGTGAATCCACACAAGAGTCGAGCTTATACGGGTAATTCGCAGAAAATTTACATTTTGGTGCTACGAAGATGTTCGAAGCAAAAGTGAACTTTGTACCGCGCGTTCAATTTTATAATTCTTTAGTTAAATTTCATAAAGATATGCCCATCAGACCAGTCGTGTCTTATGTAACAGCTCAAGCGGTTAAACTCTCAACAAAATTAGTAAATATTTGAAAGTTCCACACAGATTTTAAACCAAAATTTGCAATAAAAAATTCTTTTGAATTAATCAACAACATTAAAGATATCAAAATCTTATTTCCCAGTATTCCACCTATGGATGTGATCATTAGCATTATTACTATTATCTCTTTCGAATTTATGAAATGATTTATAAACTCTGCAATTTTTTTTAATATTACATACTGTTTTAAAGCTAAGATAAAAGTTATATGATTGCGATTGGTTGCATAGCCAGCAGATGGCGCCTCCTAATATAAATATAATAAATGAGGGTTCAACAACCTAGCGAAAACGGAATATTAGTCTTTATCCCGACTTAAATTGCGAATAAAAGCTCAAAGAAAAGTTCAACTTTGGGCAGCATTGTCACTAAACGCTGATTTATGATTTAGGTTGAGGTGTCATTTATGTTTATTACTTTTTTACAATATTTTCGACAGACCCAGTGGCTGACGTGTTTGCTACTCTCATATTTAGTCGTTTTTTAATCAAATTTCTAAATGTCGTACTCCATTGTCCTTACTGTCCACTTGTAGTTGCCAGTAAAATATTCTACAGTTGTTGTACACGGTTAGAGCAATATCGACTTACATGTCTTGATTTTGGATGCGGATAAATATGTTATTAAGTCATTAATTTGAGGCAAATGCAGTGGCGCGCTCAGATTTTATCTACAGTTCCCCGTTTTCTCATAAATCGATACAATTTTCTTATTTTATATGGCAATCATAGTTGGCTATAGTTGTTTATGTATTAGTAGGCCGTGCATATAGCGGTCAATGTCAGTTAAAGACACGCATAGAAAATAATTTAACCCAGGATTTGAATATAAATGTATTGGAAAATCCAAGCATATGGTTTTGACTACTTAAAGAAAACATAAACTTAAGTCATATCGTACCAGGAAAGTCCACCAGTTACACGAAGAAGACAGTTTTGCAATTGGTTTATCGGAAAATGGAGACTTTTATCAGCAATATGGTTGCTCCGCTCACAATGCACGGATTGGAACTGATTGGCCTGCGAGATCGTGTGATCTGACTCATCTAGATTTTTTATGGGACATATCATATTTAAAAATAGAATTTTCCAAACCAAACCACCCTACCAATGCTACCAATAAACCCAATATTATACACCCTACAGCCTACAGTTACCGATCCATTACGAAAAGTATTAATATGTTGTATTCTAACATTAGTTGTGTTTTGCTTATTAGATTAAAATAACTATGGTTTTATTTCTAAGCAAGTGGTTCTTAGGTTTTGTGTTTTTCTCTTAAGTTGTTTTAAATTCGCCTTTTTTTTAATTTCAGAATTTATCAACTATGCAACCAAAACTAACCAAAAATGTATGTATATATATATATATATATATATATATATATATATATATATATATATATATATATATATATATATATATATATATACATACATATATACGAAGTGTTCGAAGTGTTTTCGGAGCGCGAGCATTGAAGATGCCAAGTGAGATTTTGGCGAAACGTCTGCAGGATTCCAGTCGGATGCAGGATTTGCAGGATTCCAGTCGGATGCAGGATTCCAGTCGGAGTTCAACGACCCAACGGATGATATCCCGGAATATAGTGTCATCACATTTTTCCATCCGTGAATCAATACGTGAGAATATATATATATATATATATATATATATATATATATATATATATATATATATATATATATATATATATATATACAGTGTGTCCAAGATAAGGATGAACAGCATGGGGATCTCGGAAACTATAAGAGATACAGTGTCGGTTAAATTAGACATAAGTTGCGCATTTTGATACCGAACAAGATCCCGTTTTACAAATTTGAAAATTCCAAGCCGTTCCGGAAATATCCGAGAAAAACCGATATATTGCGATTTCGTTTTTATTATTTTTTAAAGCTATTTGAAAAGATATGAAAAAACGGAAAACACTTTTCCATTGGCACTTTTTAATCTCTCCAAATTGACGTTAACAAATTTTCATTACAGCGTTTCGATTCCATGGAACCACCATCAACTTTGATTTTTCTTATGGGACGGAAAAAAAGTACACACAGTATTAGGTTGTGCTTTTCATTGCGAATTCAACGATGTACGATACAATGCGGTTACTTATGTTTTTATCCAGAAAAATGGATTTTTAATACATTTCAGCATTTAAATGGAGTAGGCCATGACAAAATGACATCCAGTCAATTTCAATGACACATTAATGTTATTTGTCTTTGTTATCAGTCGATCATAAGTTTATTCCTTTAGTTATTGTTTTTGTATTTTTATTGTTGTTGTCTTTTTCTAATTTATTTTGTTCTACAATGGAGGGAGGTAATTTTACAAACTAAGAAAAATGTGATATGCTGTCTTGCTACATCTGATGCCAAAGAAATTGTGTGGAAGCCGAGCGTATGTATTCTAACAAATACCCAGAGCGGAGACAACCTGACAAGAGTATTTTTCGGCGTTTGTTATTTAATCTGAAAGAATATGGATCCTGCATTATCCCGACAAAAACCTTCCAATGAAGAAAACCAATACATTGTTCTACAATCTGTTATCGAAAATCCACAAACTTCTACCAGAGAAATTGAAGACCAGAATGGGGTAGCTAAATCTACAGCTCAGTTTATTTTAAGGAAAAATGAATTTAAGCCTTACAAATTCAGAATATGTCAAGGATTAAAACCGGGTGACGACGAACGACGTAGACATTTTTGTGAGTGGTATACCAGGATGTGTGATGAGAGTTTTAATTTTCCATATAAAGTGATTTGGTCTGATGAAAGTATGGTGACCAATAACGGTATTTATAACAGGCGCAATACACACTATTGGTCGCAACAAAATCCACGTGTTAATAGACTATCCAGACATCAAGTTCGCTTTGGGTTTAATATTTGGTGTGGGATTTTTGGTAGCAAGATTATAGGCCCTATTTTCTATAATAATTCCTTAACTTCCGAGCGGTACCTTGACATCTTGAGGCACGATTTAGAAGATGCCTTAGATGATTTACCGCTAGGCGCTGTGCAAGGCTGCTGGTTCCAACAAGATGGTGCCCCAGCCCATAACTCCAGAGAAGTTCGCCAATATTTAACTGAACGGTTTGATGGAAAATACATTGGGACTTACAGTGAAACACCTTGGCCTCCAAGGTCCCCGGACTTAACTCCCTTGGACTTTTTCTTATGGGGCTACATAAAAAATGAGGTATTCAAAGAATGTTTTGACAACGAGGAACAATTACGTCAATCAGTACGAGCAGCGTTTAATAAAATTACTCCTGAAATGTTAAGTCGTGTTTTGGAGTCTACCGTGAGACGGGCGTACTTATGCCTAGAAAATGGAGGTCATTTATTCGAACATTTGTTATAGAATTTGTTTTTCATTAACTTGTTGGATTTAGTTGTTATGTTAAATGAACAGCTGGAGTTAGTAAATAAATAAGCACATTAACTCGAACTTGTCAACCATTTTCTTTTGCCTTTCATCGTTCGGATCTCATGGCCTACTACAATAAAATACTAGAAATGTATTAAAAAGCCATTTTTCTGGATAAAAACATAAGTAACCGTATTGTATCGTACATCGTTGAATTCGCAATGAAAAGCACAACCTAATACTGTGTGTACTTTTTTTCCGTCCCATAAGAAAAATCAAAGTTGATGGTGGTTCCATGGAATCGAAACGCTGTAATGAAAATTTGTTAACGTCAATTTGGAGAGATTAAAAAGTGCCAATGGAAAAGTGTTTTCCGTTTTTTCATATCTTTTCAAATAGCTTTAAAAAATAATAAAAACGAAATCGCAATATTTCGGTTTTTCTCGGATATTTCCGGAACGGCTTGGAATTTTCAAATTTGTAAAACGGGATCTTGTTCGGTATCAAAATGCGCAACTTTTGTCTAATTTAACCGACACTGTATCTCTTATAGTTTCCGAGATCCCCATGCTGTGCATCCTTATCTTGGACACACTGTATATTATATGTGCAGCTCCGATATAACGCTTTGTGATTTTTTTTACATTTTTCAAAATGAGATTCTACACCGAAAGTAAACGACGCCCCGAGAAAATCAACCCCCTTCGACGGACCCACTTCTGCCGATTTATATTTATATGTTTCCTATTTTGTATTAAATAACGGGATTTACGTCGACGCAAAAATAAATTGCCGCGAGGGTAAATCGAAAGGAAATATATAAAAGAGGGCCTTTTTTTTCATTCGCACACATCCGGTAGCCTTTCGGGATATTCGGGATATATTTATATGTATATATATATATATATATATATATATATATATATATATATATATATATATATATATATATATATATATATATATATATATTTTGGGAACCTAATAAAATTTGAAAGTCCGATTTAGATGAAAACGCGAGGCAGCTTATGGGCGCTCGTGTGCGTGACGAAGGACGCTTTTCAATGTACCAAACACCAAATAATTACCGGGAAGTGCAAAAAAAATCGAAAAATTTTGATGTTTTCGATTTTAATTGAAACGCTTTGCTTTATTAATATCGAAAAATCCAAAACCTTTTTGATATTTTGTCTGTTTGTCCGTTCTCTGTTCTGTGCTTCTCCGTAGACGC